TCATATATTTTAAAGTAATTATCAATCAACCCTAATGGATAGTCATTCTCGACTAAAATTTTTCTTGTCTTAATGATTGATATCTGTATGACGCAGGTTCCTCTAACCCCATATGTATGATTTTAAAAAGGATTCCGCATTTGTGGGTTTCCTATACACATTTATACTCTATTTGCTTTCCTTTATTAATTATGACATCTTGAAGAGGTGAAACCTGGTTGGCTTGCTTCTATTGATTAATGTTGGTAAGTCTTCCAGGCTTTCTTTGTGCTGCCAAACAGCAAAGTAGTCATATACCCTAACAATAATTAAGGATATAGAAGTGCTTGTTGTATTGGCGACTATAATTCAACCATACATTTATCTCCTAACTGAATACAAACACGATCTCTCATTTGCTGATACAATTCACCATTGAGAGTAAAATATCTAAATTCGTCCACATTTTTTATTCTCTATCCAAATTTTTATTTCTCAAAATATCCTAGTTTTAATGTAGTGTTAGTTCTATAAGTCTAGCTCTGGTTGCAGGGATGTTAATGTACATCGACTGCATCAATACTAACAAACAAATCCTCACATTTTGTTCATTTACTAACTGAACGAATTCATAAGCATTCCTTATTAAAAATTGTCATGCCTCGGAGATTTGCTTTATTTGTCGACAGTTATATCGTAATGTTTTATGCATCATGCTACCCCTTATTATTAAGAATAATTCTGAGTGGGATTCCTTCCTTATGTATTTAGGGAGATGACATCTCGTTGAGGAAGTGTGTTCATTTTCCACCACCAATTCCTTGTTGCACTTGCAGGCAACTCTTGAATCTAGTTTTTAGGGTCTTTTTAGGATCCTTACTGTTAATTTTTATCTTACCATAACATCTAATTCCTGCATAATCTTTTATATAAACCAACCTTATCCATAACCGCGATTGTTCTATTTTTCTGTCTAGCACTTTTTTATTTGTTCTTTATTGCACTCATCGAGATTAATTCTCACAGTGCAATGATACTCATTATTACTTTACAGGGAATTGTTTATTAGTCTACTAGATAAACCCAAATTGAAAATAATAACATGGCCTCAATCACAAGTGTCTTTAACGTTCCATCTCAGATGTCCAAAAGTCTCGGCAATATTATCGACCCCTTCATTGAAGAAGCAGTTCTCACCCTTTATCCTGGTTCAGGCCGGGCTTCTTTCAACTCTACGGAAATTATTTCGGCCACTTGTCTACATTCTCGTCCTCCGCATACAAGTTCGCCATTCTCAGAGGGCACAAACCAGACCTTTGATGATATGGTTCTCAAATCGGTAGTCATACCTTCTGATGATATCTGTCGCGAAGGCCTCCGCTATGTCCTGTTACGCTGCAGTGCGCTGTCCGCCGATTCGGATTACAGTCGCAAAGCAGCCGTTGAGCAAATCAACACTGAACTCGTTAATTGGTTGGGCAATCTTCTATCCAGGTTAATTGAATTATGTTGCATTAATCGGCTTATCCTATTATTCTTTTTCCAATGTGGTTATTCCGAGTTGCATAATGTAGGCATAAGTAGAAATGACAAATCGGTATGACTTGATGATTTGCCTAACTTCCCCAATTATTAGGCTGATAGCCTGCATATCTTGCTCTTACTAGTGCATTAGTCAATTTTCTAAATTTATAAACCATTACAGACTAGATAATTATTATTTCAAATAAAACTAGAGCATATTTATATGGTATTTATTCTCATCTTTGGAAACTTTAGGCCATTTGTTGACTTCTGCGAT